ATTTACTACTTTTCAATATATTTCTAACCAGTGATATCGTACCGATGAATTCGAAAAGAAAGCGACGAATTATTGTAGACGATTTGGTCACTCGTTATGGTCCGCAATCAATTACCAGAGCAAATGGTTAATTCATCCGAGCCGAGCGTAGGAGGACGAAAGTCGCAGGACAATAATTCGCGCGCGATTGGAAATCCTACAATTCCTAGCTAAACTCTACCTAGAGTAACTTAATACGCGTGTCGCGAGTGGCCATTCATTCTGTGATTGGCCATGGCCTAGTTACCGCCGTTTCTGTAAATAACCGTGCGCGCGTTCTTGCACAATATCCTATCGCCACCTTTCATTACCGAATTTCCGTCTCGATTCTTCTACTTGAAGTTAAAAGAAAAAGTGAAGTAAAGGTAACTCGATATTTCTCTGTTAACAGTTTCCCGGCGGGATATTTGAAACGACAAAAGAAACGTGCGTATTATTTATTGTACAAGTTCCATAAATCACATTGTACCAATTTATTTTACGAGTGCTCAAAGAGTACGGACATTTTTAATATTCAAAATTAATATTAATTTCTTGTTTGGATAGAAATACAATTGTTTTATATTATTTATCGTATTTACTTGTATCTATTAATGAAATCTATTTATTTTAATTATCTTATTTAATAATTGTACAATTTTATATTTTATCTTATAGACTTTCGTTTTTTTACAAGTGTTTAAGAAATATGGACATTTTTAATATCCAAAGTTAATATCTCTGTTTGCACAAATCTATTCACTTTAATTATCATTTAAATCGTAACGATTTATACGTTAGAATATTTCGTTACGATTGTTCTGATATTAATGGACACTTGTTTATTGATATTAACCTCTTGCGCTGGAATGACGTGCCACGCACGTCGAGAATTTGTAATATTTGCAAAATTGCATATTTTCTCAGTTTTACATATATTTAAGTGTAATCCAGGCAAAACAAAATAATAAATTTATTACTTCTCGATAATTTCTATCCAGTTATATCATACCGACGAGTTCAAAAGGAAAGCGACGAATTATTGTATACAGTTCGGTCACTCGTTATGGTCCGCAATCAGTTACCAGCGCAAGTGGTTAATATTTTTGTTAACCAACCAAAGTCAAGTATTTATATATATATATATATGTCTGCCATAAAAAATAGTTTTCATTCGAGGGATCGTCTATTCGAATAACTCGCGAGGACAGCGAAAAGAAAGGAACGAAACTCGAAGGAAACGTATAATTGGCTCGAAGTTGCAGTCATCAAGGATGTCCGAATAATAAAAAAACGAGCATCAATCGGGGAAACACAGACATATTTCGCGTGTACTTGACACTCTCCGCCAGTGTACCTTTCACGCATCAGCTACGGCGACATCGCTCAACCGTGAAAAAATAACGTCACGCGCGAATCGTTCGACGCAGCCTGTGTGTCCGCAGCCAGCAAAGAAACAGCTGTTCTCTACGTAGAGAGAACTCCGAGTACTATTTGGTGTATCACGGATCTTTACGTAACCTGCCTAATTTTTCCACTCCCAATCGGCCTTCGGATAATCCAAACACACGAATCCGCTGATCTCGTTTCCAGTCGACTTTACAGTCATCGCGCGCGTCTATATCTGTTCAGCTTTGATCTCCTTCGATTCTAACTGACGAGTAAGAACTGATTTTTATAATTATGATATTACATTATATTATATTATATTATATTATATTATATTATATTATATTATATTATATTATATTATATTATTTTATATTATATTATATTATATTATATTATATTATATTATATTATATTATACTATATATTATATTATATTAATATAATTTTGATATTAGTTCTCTTCAGCTTTGATCTCCTTCGATTCTAACTGATGAATAAGAACTGACTTTTATAATTATGATATTACATTATATTATTTTATATTATAATATACTATATTATATTAATATAATTTTGATATTAGTTCTCTTCAGTTTTGATCTCCTTCGATTCTAACTCATTTTTATAATTATGATATTACATTACATTATATTATATTATATATATTATATATTATATTATATTGTATTATATTATATATATTATATATTATATTATATTGTATTATACTACATATATTATATATTATATCATATTAACATAATTTTGATATTAGTTAAAAGGATCCTTTTGCAGAAAGGCCCTTTTCTAGAAAATCGCTCGATCACAAAATGGAAATGAGTAGAACTAATTAACCGCGAACGTGTCGCAGGGGAAACTAAATTACACGACGTTCCGAAGATCAAGATTGCAGAGCATGCGTGATTAAAACTTGGCAAGTGTCGCGTGATTTACGTGGTCACATGGATACGTATGTACGTAAGAAAAAA